CTCCCTCCCCTCAACACACACACACACAACCACTGCACAGAGGCTGAATCTGTTCCCCCACCCACACCCACACCCACAACCACCCCTTAACCCACCACCCGCACACACATCGAGGGGAACCCTACTCCGTTCGCCGTCCACCGTCACGGGATCGCGACACACTGATATACATTGCAGACATGACCACTTTTTTTTTTTTTTTTTCCCCTCAGACATGAGCAGTCCTATCTCCGTCTGATGTATCATTATACTGCCCCCTTGGTGGTGTAAGTGAAGTCAAGCAAGCCTCTTTCTCTATCTCTCTCTGACCTGCCAGCAATCGAGGTGGTGATGTCTGAAGACGTCACGTCAAAGGCGTCGTGGAGGGGTAAGGATAGGAGCAGTTCAATCTGCTGAAGAGTAGGTGAAAGTTCGGTGATGCTGCAGTCATGCGTTTCACACGAACTGGAGCTGTGTCCTTATCGAACGTGACAGTGTACACACGTCAACCCTTCCGCCTACTCCCCCTCCCCTTTTTTTTGAATTATATTAGTATAAATAAAATAATGAATTGTGATAATTTTTCACTGTATTATTCCCATTGTAATTGACGTCAGCGGGATTCCACCGACTTTTTTTTCCCCCTTTCCCCTTTCCCCTTTCCCGTTCCCCCTTCCCCCTTCCCCCCCCCCACCCCCTCCCAGTATCGGTTTCTATCAAGCCACCGGAAAAGCTGGGTGGGAGTTTGACTAACCCGACGCAAGGCCTCGCTCCACCATTCAGCGAATGGGCTAAATGAGAATGAATCTTCTGCTAGAGACCGGATACATCGCCATATTTTTTGTCGGTTGTGCATCTGGTGAGTGAGTGGTTGGCTCAATGACGTCTCGCTCTTCCTTTTCGCAAGGCATATTTCACACTACCGTCTTCCCCCGAACATAAATAACGCACCCTAAAAATGAATGTATACAAGCTATATTTCCGGCCAGATACAGCCAAAATGATGGTGCGTTGTGTTCGGGGGAAGACGGTAGGGCCTTTTCGGCTTAGCTCTGGATGTGATTGCATTCAGGTGCATCCGGACCTGTCGCGTAATTGCGGTCAGATATATGTGAGAAGTGCCACCGTCTTCACGCGAATAGAACGCCCGGTCATTCTAGCTGTATTGGGGCCGATTTTCAGTCCGGATGCAGCCATAATGAGCGGAAGTTTTCTATTCGGGTAAGACGGTAGGGCGAGTATGCCCTCCCTCACACTCTGGTGTTCCACCAGCGAAGAGCGCTCAGGCGGCGACACGTGGGATTCGCGTTTTTACTCTCTCACCCAGATGTGCGAGGACCAAGAAGGTCCCAACCAAAAGAAAAAAAGAAGTCCAAAAATAATCTGGAGAAAAAAAATGTTATGCAGAAAAATGAACTGAAGATTTTTTTTTTTTTTTTTAAATATATTCGTCTCTCAATTTCACCTCACACTACCTAACCTACCACTGAACAACTTTTGCCTAGGGTAGTATCGAAATTCTTTACCTAATTTAAAATGAAAAATATTTAAATAAACTTAAAAAATATATTTTTTTTTTATTTTTTTTTTAATTTTTATGCTTTTTCGGCCCGGCCGTGTAAAAGGTCCCGGGCAATTCTGGTAGCCTAGTCGTGGAGCTAATTCTCCTCATCTAGGGAGTGCTATGTCACACTCTTTAAATTACCTTTTTTTGTCTTTTTTTGGTCTTTTTTTCGTCTTTTTTTCGTCTTTTTTTTCACACTCTTTGAATTTTTTTTTTTTATAATGGCAAACACACTCTTTGAATTACGAATCAGTGACAATCACATTTACAGAATATAATGACAATAAATTAATAATTTAGTCATTCGTAGTCTTTCACATAGTGTATGCGATCCGCGTCAATCCGTTATCAGTATAATTTAAGATTAATTATCAATTCTGTTAATTCGTTTTCAATTTATTTTTTTTTCCCCCGGTTCCTTCGGTGAAAATTATGTTCGCCTTTTAATTGTTTTTTTATCTTTATTTCTTAATTATTTTAATGGCGTCCATCGCTTGATGTTATTGTTATGATTGATTGTCACCTAGTATTTATTAAAATAAGACATTATTCATGATGATTAATGTTCTCCCCCCCCCCCCCCCCACACACACACACACACACACACACACCGGAATTCACCTTAATGATTAATGTTGTATACAAAATGAATACTAATGATGATAGTAATTGGAGTTATGAAGGTTGATTATCACTATTATTAAATGATAATGTTAATTATGACTATTAGTAAATGATTATCTCTATTATTAAATGATAAGTGCGCCTCTCTCTCATCATCGGGAGCTTAGCGTCAAGCTCACCGAAGTGCGGCTCGAAAGTGGCGCAAAGTGCTGCACACATTTACACATGTTTTTTTTGGGGGGACCGGTCCACCTTCCCTCTTTTATGCTTCCCCCTCTCCCTCTGCCCTCCCTGCCCCCTCTCCCCCTGCCCTCCCTGCCTCCACCTCGCCCTCTCCCCCCCCCCCCCTAGTGTATGTCTTGCAAAGCTGCCCACTAATTTGTAGCTCTGCTACAAAATATTGGGCCTCGCTCCACTACACAACACTCTACATGCATTTGGACCCTCTTTCTGGACCCGATGCATTCAAAATGTTTGTCTCGTCCGAATGCACGTGGTGCATAAACCGTCCAAATGCATGTAGAACTGTTGTGTAGTGGAGCGAGGCTCATTAGGCCGCCATTTTGGTCGGAGGAATCGTACACGCCGTCGCCCACGTGGTCGCACGAGTTGGTCGAAACTGGCTGAGCTTGTCTCGTCGCAATCGCGGGAGCCCTCTCCACTCTTGATCAATCAGGTCCTCTCTTTTCCCGTCCTTTCCCCCGCCTCCGTTTTCTTCTCTCATTTTACCTCTCCCGTTCTCTCCTCCCCCTCGTCGCACAGGAGATGAATCTTATTCAGGAATTGAATCCGGTTCATCCCTATACGTCGCAAGGTTTGCGAAGCCACGCCACATTGATGCGCTGGCCAGGAAGAGGATGACTCCTCATCTCGCGGAGAGACAAGGGCCAGAGAATGGACTCAGTTATTTGCAACGTATCGTGGCAGCGAAGTGACAAGCGCGGCACTCATGGAATGCCTTGCTCGACGACCTCCTTGTGGCAGCAAATGCATCGTGTGAGGGAGAAAAGGGAGGGAGTAGGCGGGCCGGCAAACCCCCGTTTGGTGCCACAAGCAGGTCGAGCAATACATTGCATGAGTGCCGCCACGGCGATCTCCTTGGTCACCTTCTCTTCCTCTCTTCCTCCTCTCCTCCCTTGTCTCTTCTTTTCGCACAGAACGCCTCCTTCACTCCCATTCCCCATGTGCGCGCNTCTCTTCCTCTCTTCCTCCTCTCCTCCCTTGTCTCTTCTTTTCGCACAGAACGCCTCCTTCACTCCCATTCCCCATGTGCGCGCGAGAGCATGTTGAGTGCCGCCAATGGCGATCTCCTTGGTCATCTCCTCCTCCTCTCCTCCTCTCCTCCTCCTCTCCCTCCTCCTCTCCGCCCCCCTCTCTTCTTTTCGGGACAGAACCCCTCCCCTCCTTCGCTCCCATCTCCCATGTGGGCGTGAGCATGTTGTTGTCAACAAAAAGCCGTTGTTTTTGTGTTGACGACCACGACGAGCCGCCCATGGTTTGGAGAGGTTTGATGACGTCGTTAAAAAAAAAAAATCCGATGTAAACAAGGGAAAAACTGAATCGGCAACAGCTCTTCTCTTCGTCTCGTACAAAGAAGAGATAGGTAGCTCTTTGTTTTGAGAAGAGACCCCCTTCCTCCTGTATATGCTTTTCAATATTTCGCCCCTTTTTCGTATATTGTTCAATATTTTAATTGCTTAAAAAAGCGAGGGTGTCTCCACGTGTCGACCTTTCCAAAAGACAAAAAGGTGGAGAGATCAGATTTCGCTTGTTTTGTCACCATGGGCCTCGCTCCACCACTCAGCACAGATGCATTTGGACGCCTTTCTGGACCAGGTGCGTTCGGAGGAGTCCAACATTTTGAATGTATCGGGACGATTCTGAGCTCCAGATACATACCTAGTGTTGTGTAGTGGAGCGAGGCCCCATTTCCCTTTTTTTAATCTGCTGCCGACACGTGTCAGAACGACATGATGATGAGCGTGTGCAGATTTGTTTTTTCCTGTTTTTTTTTTTTGGATTCAATAGACGTCCACACAAGCCCTTTTTTTTTTGTTCTTTTTTTCAAAGAGGTTTGCAACTCCATCGTCATCATTTAAAGAAAATAATGATCTCGATGAAAGCAATAGAACCCCTTTTTTTTTGTCTCGTTCAAAAGAACGGTTGTTGCCGACGAAAGCGAGCCAGCCCTCCTAGGAGATGCCTTTTTGGTTCTGCCACGTGTCACCCAATGATGCCAGGATGCAGTCTAAAAAAAGAATGCGGCGCAAACAAGGTCATAGACAAAGCATTACACGGTTTGTTGCAGATGGTATTTTTTTGGATGACCAAAAAATTTGGGAAAAAAAAGAATATAAAAAAAGTATATAGATATGAAAAAAATGGATATAAGATTCGTTGTCTGTCCTCTCCTGTAATTTTTTGAACCTCCAGTACTACTTCCTAAAGTTGTGCCCATGAACAAGCCACAATTATTTTAGGAAACGTACGGGCCACTACAAGAGCGCCCAAGTTCATCCGACCAGAGATGTTTGTACTCAATTTTTTTTCCGGTCGGCCGATAGCTGGGCTAGGTACTGGTGGTTTAAGTCGAGGCATTTCGCCACATGGACTCCCAGCTTTGCACACGTGGAGTCCCAACCATAGCTTTGCTTTGCACACGTGGAGCATGCATGTGGTCAGTATTACAACCAAGTTCTCCCAAGCACAGGTGTGGCATCATTTGAACCTGGTCCTAATCTGTGTGACTTGCATGGAGTTTCTCTGGCGGTTATGGAAGGTTATGGGCTAGGCAAGCACAGTGGTGGACACAGTAGGAGCCAGGTTCATGCATGGATATTGTACGACGAGTGGTGTCTGGTCCGAATCCACATGGTCTTGTATGAGTCGTTTTTTTTGCAGGTGTTTTCAGGGTATAAAAAGCGCGAGCCTGATCCTTATTACGGCCAGGTTCATGCTTATGAAGGACAGGCATAGTAGCAACAAGCCTGGTCTCTAATTCACGTTGGTATGGAAGGCATATCAGAAAAAAGGCAGCCTTTTGTTGACAGGCGGCTTGTTTGTTTGCAAAGCACTTCTGGTCTTGCTGCTCTGCAAACACTCTCCACAGGAAGCTGGAGACCAGGACGCCTTTTTTTTTTTTTTTTTTTTTTTCCCCTTTGTCGACGTATACTAATATTTTGTTTTCCCACGGAGCCGCCTCTACCAGGCCTGGACACTCTAGATTTTGGCCTGGTACCCGTGGTTTAAATGTATGTGGAAGCTTTGGGTTCATAGTACTTCATACTTATGGAAAGGAAAACGAAGACTATTCTGTTGATACTGACTTGATTGTTTGGGAAGGAAAAAATGGAGGTGAAGAGGGAAAATGAAAAGTCTGTTTTGTATTCTGGTAGTCGAGAAAGAAGAAGAAATTTCGCTGATTACGAAATTGAAAAGTCTTTGCCAGTCCTTGAGGACATCCGTTAAAATTGGAGTGACACAGAGAAGATTAGCATGGCCCCTGCGCAAGGCTGACACGCATGAATTGAGAAATGGTGCAAATTAAAAAAAAARAAAAAAAAGAAGAAAAAAAAAAGAAAAAAAAAGAAAAAAAAAAGATTAAAAAAGAAAAGTGTTTGCCTGTTGTAGATTAAGTATTTTGCTCTCTGATTGATTCCTGGTGACCTGAACGTTTGATTGTGATACAGATGACCCCAATGACGAAGATTTCAATCCTCGAGTTGCATCTGCTGCCATTTCTAGATCGAAGAGGCAGCCCGGGCAGGTGTGTGATCTATATTTTATTATTTTGTTTGTTGTTTTCTGTGCGCATGATCTTGCGAGTGTTTTAAAATGATTTTTTTTTTTTTTTTAATGTTTTAGAGGTTAGTCATAAAATTAAATAAATACAACGAAGTTGAATTAACTTCTGTTAATGATGGCAGTTGAAGTTCTGAACTTCTGAAGTAATCATGACTTAGGAATGCCTTTCTCGATCTTTTGGCTAAGTAATTGATTGATTGAGTTAAACCACCAGTACTTCCAAAAGTCGTGCCCGTTAATGTGCCACGATTTTAGGAAACGTACCGGCCACTACAGGAGCGCCCAAATTCATCCAACTAGAAACGTTTCTACTCTATTTTTTTCTGCAGCCGATAGCTGGGCCAAGTACTGGTGGTTTAAGTTCGGGACGACGTACATGGTCACCAAAACATCACATAGCAAGTTACGACTCATGAGATAGTCAGCCTGCAAACTATGTGAAATCCCGAATTCGAGTTGACTCAACAAATAATAATCAGAGAACCCCAAAGAGTTCGTGAACAACCATGGTAAGTCTACATCGCTCCATAGGGAACACCATATGGTGCTCTTTTATCTCAACAAGTAAGAGTGAAACGCTATGGTAGAGTGAGTACTCTGCCTTTCTCCTACCGGTTTCAGCTGCTGCCAGATCCAGCCTCATCAGGGGGGCGCGATGATACAAAATCCTGCAAAGTCCGAAACTCAAGCTCACCCTCCTCCCAGATTTCATTCAGGTTTTTAGGTTTTAGCTGAGTGGCCGGTCTTCGTCCCTTGAAGATCAAGTGTAGCATCTGTTCTGTTCTGATCAGTTTAATATCTGATCCGTGGTCCATTGGGTCAATGAACAGAAAAAAAGAAAAAAAAAGAAAAAGAAAAAAAAAGAAAAAATTAAAAAAAAAAAAAGAAGGAATTGAGAACCAAAAGGAAAAAAGAAAAGAATGAAAAGGAAGTCAGGACCATCGAGTTGGGGGTTATACTCGCAGCAAGGATCAGGACATCCGAGCCTGGTGGACTCGCTCGCCGGACACCAGGGCGTGTACCTGGACACAAGTCGGGTGCCCGGGCGCCTGGAAAAGCAGCCTAGTGGGAAAGTCTAAAAGGAGGAAGGCTGTGGACAAGAGAGCGGGGAAGGCTACCGTCTTCTCACCCGAACGCCTGATCATTATTGCTGCATCTGGACTGAAAGTTGACCCAAATGCAGCCATAATGACCAGGCGTTCTATTCGGGTGAAGACGGTAGGGGTAGGTTGACAATCCTGCTGTCTTGTCCACAGCGGTCCTCCTAGGCTGTTTTTCCAGGTGCCAGGGCAGCCAATTTGTGTCTGGATACACGCTCGAGTGCCCGGCCGGGCATGTGACCCCGGGCAGGGTTCAAGGGCAAGGGCAGGGATTCAAGATATTTGATGTCAGTCAGAAACTTGAGTCAAATGTTTAAGAAGCTCAGATTTTTCTTGTAGAACAGCAAAAGAGAATTTGGCAGTTATCCATAGAGGGAGTCTGTTTGGAAATTTTTGGTAGTTGTCAACAGAAAACAATTCCAAACATTTCTGGTAAAAGTGCTGTGGTTTTCGAAACTATGTCAGGCGAATTCCGGATTTGATGATGTTTCAAGAACTTAAATAAAGAGTTTTAAAATCGAGATCCTTTTTTGTTTCCTTTTTAGAAATCTGAAAGTCTACCAATGAGCCTAGCTCAATCGGTACACCCACAAACTGTTGAAATGCAGACCCAAGTTTGAATCCAGACACTATCAGAACCAAAACAAAATAATTTTGAATTGCCTGGGGCTGGTCAGTTCAACGATGGTATCTGAAGGCTGCCACCGTTAAAAAGAAATCTGAAAGCCTTAGTGTATTCGAAAGTCGTCTTGTACCGCAGAGCATACCTGTTTTTTTTTCGCCGACATGCTACTCCAGAGGGAGTCCGTTTTTCGATTTCTGACTGGAAGCCGAGGTTTCTTATAATGGTAGGCACTCTGAATGATTACTCTTTATGTACCTTCTTCCAATAAGCACGGATGCACCCGGTTGTGAATGTATACACACTGTTCGTCTCCCTGATTGTGAATGTGTATACACAGTTTGTCTGGTCCTATACAATCAGAATAAATCCAGCATGTGCTGAGTTTTCGAAATAATATTTTTTCGTTTTGGCGTTTGTGGCCGGTTGCCACGTGGTGAAATACATCGGGCAAGTGCTCTAATCTGGAGATGATCTTTATCTGTTGTGGTGTTCGTGGCTGGTTGCAGCTGGATGGCAATGATTCTCTTGGCAGTGAGGGGGATGAGGTGGAAGAAGAGAGCCCTGAACCGTCAGATGATAGTGATGAGGATTTCGGAGGTGGGCGGAAAGGAGGATCTGGTAGACAAAGGTCTCGTGTTTCACATCAGAAGAAAGTAGGAGTGGTTGAGGGAGCAAGCCGGAGAAGTCAGGGATTTAGTGGAAGGTACCAAGCACGCCGTAGCAGGTCAGATGATGATGATGGTGAGGAGGACGAAGAAGAGGAGGAGGAGGATGACGACGATGAAGAGGCTGAGGATGAGAGCGATGAAGATTATGGACGCAGACGGAGAAGACCTGGCAGTAATCTCATCGCAAAGGGAAGGAGATCGGCACTTAAAGGCCGTTCAGGGAGGAGTCATGGGGAATCAACTAGGGCAAGGGTGGAGACGCCTGTCCGATCAACACGTACTGCTAATGGTGATGTGGCGAGGAAGAGTTATGCGGAAGTGGAAGAGTCGGATGATGAGGATGAGAAGCGCAATGCTAGGCATGGAAAGGTATCACGCTGTGTTTCCTCCCCTCGTCCCTGCTCACCCTCGCTCTCCCCAACCTCCTCTTCCTCTCACCCACCTCCTTTTCCTCTGCCCCTCCCCCCCCTTCCCCCCCCTTCTCTGCCCCCCCTCCTTTTACCCCTCTTTTTACCCCCATCTCCTTCCAGGCTCTTACTCCACCGTCCCCCTGGCCCGGCACTCCCCTTTCAGTCTACCCTTACCACCCCTTCTTTACCCTCCCTCATCTTACCCTTCTCATACCCCTTCTTTCCTGTATCCTTTCTCTTATCCTGCTCTTACCCCTTCTCTTACCCCTTCTTGTATCATTCCTCTGTGTTGGTTTACAGGAGCTTGAAATGCAGAGAATGAAGGGCGGAAGTCTCGCCACGTATGCTATATTCTCCTTGTATGGTAATGGTTCGTCCTGCGGGGGTCCAGCATGTGGAGGGGTAAAAAAGGAGGGAGGAGGAAGCCATGGAGCCCTTGCAACTGATACCGATCTCTTGACTTGTGGGTTTCGTTTGCTCTTACTGACTTCAGCATGCGGAGGAGGAGGAGGAGGAGGGAGATGTCATTGAAAGGGTTGTTTGGCATCAACCGAAAGGCACAGCAGAGAAGGCGAGAGAACAAGGTAAACCTGAAGACCCAGTTGTGGTGGATGTCGACCCCTATGCGAACATCGATTGGGAGGAGCAAGAGTTTTATATCAAGTGGAAAAACTCTGCATACATCCACTGCCAGTGGGACACCCTTGAGACACTTAACCAGGTGTGTGGTTTTTCCACTTCTCCAGAGATTTGCCTCAGGTTTTCTGAGTTCGTTCTTTGTTTATTTTCTTGGAATTTCTTCGTGTTTTGTTTCCCCCCCGTTGGACATTGTAGTTAGAATTCGTCTGTATGTTGGAGGCTGTAGCAGTGCATTTTGCTTTTCTCCCTTCTTTTAAGCCACAAGTGTCGCTCAGTCTGTTCTATTAAATGGAAATCTTAACTGGATGCAGGCGATCTTGTGCGAAAATCGGTGTCAGTTTGCCAGGCCACAGCATTTGGGAAGACGGTTTGGGCACTGGTTTTCACTCACCTTTGATGTGCTGCTCAGCAGTTCAACCTTAGGTCTCACAGGTCTCATGGCAGGACTGTTAGGCAATATGCTTAAACTGCCATTACCCTCGCTGTCCTATATTTGGGGGGACCGGTAGCACAGGTTCATGAGGGCTACCGGTAGCACAGAGGGGAGACCTGGCGGAGTGGCGAAGTTGGTGCTGGAAAATTGTGAGACTGGACCCGTCTGTGCCTGCTGGTTGCCGCCCCCCTGTAAAACCCGGCCTGTATGGCCAGGAAAGCCGGATTTTCCGATGTCAGGGGTGGTGTTTTAAATCACCGGTCTGCAAGCAAGGTGCACTGGGCAAGACACCTGTGCCAGTCGTTCATTCATGATGAAAAACTGTTTGAGATCAACATAGATGGGAGGTGGACTGGTGACTTAAACTGCCACTACCCCCAGGCAACATCGAGAACAAAAAATGTAAGATTCCAGGTTCTTCTCTTCCGATGAACAGTGCTACTGGACCACAATGGCTGGCGCTGCCAGTCTAAAGAGGGAGGGGTGGAAACTGTGCTGGCGCTTGGGCAAAAGCTCGGAGTGCAGTTCTTTTCACATTGGTAAGAAGAGGGGCCGAGGTAGTGGTGGTTTAACTGCATTGAACTCGTTGTGCTCTTTGGGCCTTGCTGTTCAACTCACGGCGTCTGCAAAATGTTGATTACATCCTCAGCTGGAAGCTGGCAAGGTACGCCCGCCACTTTTGTCTGTTTCACATTCAGCGAGTGGTGTAGCGAGGTCTTTCATGTTCTGTTTTGGTACTTCTTTTTTTTTTTTTTTTTTTTTTTAATGCCCAGGTCCCACCGCAGCCTATCTCCTTGTTCTGCTTCCTTAGCGTAACCCTTGCTTCGCCATCTATTGGGGCACTCGTTGGCCCTACCTCGGATATGCCGGACAGCAGTCGCAGGCACCAGCGCTAGGCCAGGACCACCTCTCCCAGCCCTAGTTAAAGCACTACCGAACGAGGCCTGTAGCACAGGTACTTTGTCGACAAGCGTGATCGTCCTATACACCTTTTTCCTACGAGCACCAGCCTGGGTTGGTCAGACAGCGAGTATTCCATAGAGCCACCCCTAGGCAGTGTCTAGTGGTCCTACCCTGACCAAGGTCTTACCCGAGACAGCCCCTCATCCAATCCGGGCGATATGTTACTACCATAGCCTCTTGCTTTGTTTTGACACCAGCTTAAGTAGTGCCCTCATGGGTACACACGGCAAGAGCATTTTGATTCGAGCCTGGTTGGGTAGCAAAGACTGCAGGTTTCAAAAGGCGCAGCTGCAGGCTCGTGAGCCTCAGAAGTACTCACACTCTGACCTTTTTACTTATTTTTCGATGTAAATGCCGCCAAGTACATCCCCGTCTGGGGGTAAATGCGGTCAGATACATTTACGATGGTGCTAGTGTGAGTACGGCCTTAGGCTCTTGCGAACTGGTGGTTGAACTGCCAGTTCCGACGTCGATGCCAATGTATGCTCCATGGTAATTGCAACATGTGAAAACGGTCTCAAATCTTGGTTATGAGGCGGGGCGTCAGTCAGGCAGGCTCTCTTGAACACAGGCCCTCTTTCAGCCGTGTTCGAGCCACGTTGCAAACTTCACACTCTTCTTGAAGTTTTCCACATTTTTGTTAAGTTTTTTGAAATATGAATTGGGCCCCAGGTGAACCAGCCCAGATCGCAAGGAAGGACAGTCTCACAACAGTTTTGAACCCTCAGTACCAGCTTTCTTTTTTGAACGAATCTGTGTCCGGCTGCAGCCTCGGTACAAAGAGCACTTCTAAGTTACAAACATACTTGTTAATGCCTCTGCGGTAACTGGAAGGCCGGGTAACGATAGGTGTTGCATTTGCGCTGGTCCTGTTTTGCTACACAGAAATATTTTTCTGATATTTTTCGCTGATAAATTGGCACCTATCCTTTTTTTTCCCTCTTCAAAGGGCGACGACCTTTGAGTTATTGTCATTGAACAGACTGGCCAGAGGTAATTCTTATTTTTTTTATTCTGTTCATCTGGTTGCATCTGGATTCAAACTCAGGTCTGGTTACCAAATGAGCTAGGCCAGTCGGTAATTGGCACCTATCCCACATGAGGCTACAATGCCGCTACATCCATCATGTTTTTCATAAATTTTTGGTGAAGGAGTAGAGAATGGAAAATCCTGGGATGCCGAAAGTTCAGTGTGTATATGGGCATAGTGGCCCTTTGTGACCCTTTTACCGTGGGTATCTGTGGTCACCACTCATGCTGGAGGTTTGGAAAAGCAGGACTGCAAGATACTGGTCATTTATGCAACAAGTCTATTGCCATGGGTATCCGCGGCTGCCACTCATGCCGGAGGCTGGGAAAACAAGGCTGCAAGGTACTGGTGGTTTAAGTAATCGGTCTAATGCAATGTGTATCGGCGGCCAGTACTCACGCCGGAGGTTGGGAAAAACAAGGCTGCAACGTACCTGTGGTTTAAATAATCAGTCCTATGGAAGGCCTGTCTTTTTCAGCCCTGTTACAAAGTAGGATGTAGTATGTGGTCAGCTCCGTGCGGTGGGTTGATAGAGCTGCTGATGAACAGTGAATGATACCACAGTCACGACGTGATCCATGCAGGAGGTGCTTCTCCTTCAGGACCCTCTTCTTTAGCATGGCCCACATGGGCAGATCCCACAAAAGAGACCTGTTCGCATGCAAGCTGTGAAGTTTTTTTTACGATACAAAAATACGATACATTCTCCGGCTACTGATAGGTCTAGTGAGTCCTGCGAACGAGACCTGTTTGCATGCTCGCTGTGATTGGATCTATCTATAGATAGCAAGCCTTGCATCCGTGTCTCGATATTGAACTTCTTTCAAACCCTTGGTTTGGTAGTGCAGTTGATGGGAAACGTGGAACAGAAATTTGATCATACTCAAGTTTTATTTTGTGTAAGGTATAAGCCTTGAGGGGTACTGGTGGTTTTGCTGCAGGCTTTACTGTTGCTATGGAATTCTGGATATATTCATGAACGTTGCTCAAAGGCGAGCTTCAGATGTGTCGCATTTCATTTTGCATGTGGAATTGTCTTTACCTATTGTAAAGAGTGCCGGCGGGTTGTCCCCAATTTGGTGAAATAGGATCGTTTCCTTAGAACATGAGCTGACTTATGAATTGCATGTGTGGCCATGTTGTCAGTTCAAAGGGTTTGTCAGGGTCCAGAAATACATGAAGAAGGTGGAGACGGATATGATGAACAGGATGGGCCTCAGCCCGGAGGAGGTGAGTCCTTTAAGATTCTTTGAAAGCCTTGTTCCTCATCTAGGATAAGAGCACCCCCTCCTATCTGACTTCCTGGTCGCTGTAGTCAATTGGTGGGGAGCTACACCTGCTTAAGATGTTTAAAGTTTAAGCTGAAGTTTGCTTTGTTTGTCTGAGCGTCTCCCAGCGTAATTCTCGATGCTCTGTTGCTTGGCTTTGCTTTTCAAGAAAAACTGAGAAACAGTAATGCTTATGTCGGGGCCAGCAGCCTGGCTCAGTTGGTAGAGCACGGAAGTGGCATTCAGAAGGTCATGGGTTTGATTCTCACGTCACTCACCGTGCCCCCCTGTGGCATGCTTCGGCTTCACCAGCTGGGATAGTTGGCTTGCCCCTCGTGGTTGGTTAGGACGCACCTGGGGATTGGCCTTCTAGCTCGCGCCAGGTGTGAGGGATTGCAGTGGTGTTTAGGCACGGGTGGAGGTCGGTGTCAACCCATAACTGCAACATTCAATGATTTGAAAGCTGAACTTAGGTAGGGGATTAGGTAGCGTGAGGCATATGAGAGAAAAATATACCGTAGTTTTAGGGACAAGAAAAGAAGAAAAGTAATATGCTTATGTCTGGAGATTGACGCTGTGGTAATGAACCCTAGTGATGGATCATCATCTGTGCTGTGACAGCATGAACACCCAAGTAACTCTCTGTGAGGCAGCGTGATCTATCCTATTGCTAGGCGTGGGAAACTGAATTGGACTGGTTATGTCCTTCACAGTGTTCATACTTGCTTTCTTCTCCCAGCCTAACTCGAGTGGAATGGTTATGTCCTTCACACTTGCTTTCTTCTCCCAGCCTAACTTAAGTGGAATGGTTATGTCCTTCACAGTTGCTTTCTTCTCCCAGCCTTCTGCCCCGTATTCCCCACCACTTGTCTGGCTTTCTGGAAATGAAAGTGCGTTTTGTTTTGCTTTTTCCTTCTTGTTTGACGTTTGTAAGGGAGAAAGCACCTGGCATAACACAATGAATCCTCAAGAAGATCGGGTGGTCGAACTGGATAGCTGGCATCTGATGCCGGAACCAGATTGCTAGCATCTAGTGCCTGAATTCTTTGTGCTCATTATTCAGCCAAGGTGGAATTCACTGTTGTTCATACAGTGTACAAGAATGGGAACGGAGGAGCATGTTGTTCTTTGGTTAGCGAGGCTACGAGAGCAGCCGGGGACCAGTTGCATGTCGGGCCAAAAGGGATTTTTTTTTTGGTTTGTGTTTTTTGTTTTTGTGGGTACCGAATTTCGATGTGACCCTTGTCAAGAGGTGAAATTAATATATACGTAGTATACATTTCTTGCATACTGTCAAGTGCACATCGTGCGTGCGTTTCCCGATGTGCGGCGCAGGCGCCCAACCGATCCCGTGCAGCTCATGACGTGTGTGGAGAAAGACCGGTCACCACCCTCCGAAAAAGAAAGACAGGCTGGGGGTGGAAACGGTGCGTTCGAGCCCAGAGTCCCCCCGCCAAAATTATAAGCGTGATGAATTTTTTTTTGCAGGAGTGCTGCCTCACCTCGCTCCTCCTGCCCTTCCCCATCTTCCTTGTCTCCTCCTCCTCCTCGTACTTCCTCATCTTCCATGCCTCCTCGTCTCCTTCCCTTCCTCATGTCCTCCCCTTCCTCCCCTTCCTCGCCGTCCATGTCTCCTCCTCCTCACTTGTCCTCCTCCTGCCCTTCCTCTTTTCCCTCCGTCCATCTCTTCTCCTCCCCCATCTCTACTCATCCTCCTCGTCGTCCTCGCTATCCTCGTCGTCCTCCATGTCCACCTCCTCCTCCTCCTCTCCATATCCCCCTCTCCTCGCCATATCCCCATCTTCCTGTTATAGGCCCCCCCGTCCCCCCTCCCCCCCCCAAAAAAATAAATAAATAAAAAACTAGAAAATCTGCACGATTCTGCACAGGTACCCCCCGCTCAGAACTCCGCACGGAACTTGGCACGAATGTGCGGCTCGTGCGGTTGCAAGTATAGTTTCTTGTCATGTTCTCGCATTCTGCCTGCGGCTCATTGGTGCTTCTCAATGACTATGTAATATGTATAGTCACGGACAATGGTTTATCACGAATGTGGAAACCAGACACTCGACAGTCCAGACCGGGACTTCCAGATCTGATCTGGACCGTGAGGTGCCCTAAAAATGTTTCGGGCTCCATCTTTTCCTTCCAATGTGCTTGTGATTTTCGAAATCACTCTCAGCCAAAGGCTCCTCGTATTCTCACGCTGCACGGTATCTACATCGTTTTTTTTTTCGTTTTCCTGAGAAAAATGAATTTGTTCAAAAGAATCACTCGATTTCCGACGCCCCTCGTGGCGTGCTTCGGGTTCATCAGCCGAGGTAGTTGGCTTGACCCCCAGTCGTTGGTTGTGGCAGGGCCTTGCCTCTGTTTCTTCCATCCCTTGCTAGGGGTTAGGCTCAACCCTGACGGGATAGGCTGAGCCCATGCTTGGGTAGGTAGGTAGGCAGGTAGCATGAGGTGTATCGAGGGAATACTATATAGCTTAGTTTTATAGGACAGAATAGAAACTTGAAAATGATTATTCTTCTGGTATTCCAGACAGGACTGTGGACGCTCAGTCGTGGAACCAGGGACAGCAGACTGTCCGGGCACTTGTTGCCGTCTACCTTCTTCTCGCACTCTATCTTGTCGTTTATCTTCTGTATTCTATTCATGGTCGTTTGCGTAAACTTCTCTTCTCGCTCTACCCTCTTGTCTCTCTCTTTGTGGTATTCATAATCGGTTTCGGTTTTGTCCTGCTCTGCTCTCAATACCTTCAAACCATTTTTGCTGAGTTGTTGTCGTAATTCCCACGGACAGCAGACTGTGCGGTACTCATCTGGATGTGCGGACGGTGATCACGGTATATGGACTAGTGTGGTGGACTGTTGGAATGCTTTGGGGAAATTGGCAGAAATCAGAAGAGCTATGTGAGAAAATGTGCTGTTGGTTCACTGACCTGCTGTTTCTATCAATGGGGTTTGTGTCGTCTCGTCTTGTGTGGGTGAGCGCGGCACTCAGGCAGAAGTTGCTGATCTTTCAAAGGAAATGGAGCTTGACATGCTCAAAGAGTATATGAAGGTATGTTATCAAAACGAGATTCCTTTCTTTTTCCCCTGTTGGCAAGACACCATTCGCTTTGTTTGATTTTTTTTTTTTTTTTGTTTGTTTGATGGTTGACTTGCAAGTTACGACTTATAAGCTGTGCGAGGCATAAGGCCCCGATGAGCCCGTTTGACCCTGCAAGCAGCACTGTCGGCCGCCCTAAGTGAAGGCAGGCCCGACCAAGGCCACAAGGCCTATTTTCAGGCTACCATGCCACAAGGCCTATTTTCAGGCTACCACGCAACTGAGGAAAATTCAGGCAGTTGCGCAGCGCCAGTTGGTTAAGAGCGCCCAGGCCCTGGCTGCCTTTTTCGTATGCAACTGAGTCAGGCGCCGGGGCAGATACACAACATGGGCCGAACCCAGGCTGCGGGCAGTTGGGAACAAGCAACCGTCACAGGCCCTGGGCCCTGATTCGTTAGGACTGGTGCTCAGCCTCTCGGGGCGTACCGGAAGCTTCTGGGCCGAGGCCCGGCACAGCCTGGCCGCACGCAGCTGGCAGGGCACTTCCATATAGGAAAGGCCCTGGCCCACATCCGGCATTCGGGCACTGGCTGCATGCTGCGCAAGCGCTGCTGCGGTAAGGCTGGCTAGTCCGATGCGCTCGTGGGCCAGCAGGGAGAGCAGGCAGCCATAGCCGAGCTGCGCTGCACTGAGCTGGATGGGGCGCATGGTGGTCCTTGGGTGCACGTGGCATCTGTCAGTGGGGGATTGAGGTTGTGAGCGATACGAGCGACATGCCTGGTGCTTGAGGCGAACGGCATTGTCCGAGATCTGCTCGTACTTCTGGGAGCTGTTGACGTCATGAGCGGCATTGTAGATAAGCTAGATAGGATCTGCCACTTGTAGTCTGGGCGCAGGGCGCCCGATAGGATGCCGACATTGGTTCTTTATTGATGATGATGAGACTATTCCAACATTGTCACTTATGAGCTTTTGCTGTGCTCTTATTTGGTGGAACTCGTGTTGCAATTCTGCTTTTGGTTCGAGGTCACGACTATCTGGTCTCATGTGTATGATGCTGCTTGGTTTCTGAAGTTCGCAATCGCTCATTTTCCTTGCAGTTGTCTTGCTGTAAAAATAGTAGAGCAAAAATTCATACGTACAAGAAGAATGTCCAATCTTTTCTCCATTAATAATAACAAACTCTTTTGTTTGTCTAAACAAGTATACTTTTTTTTTTGTTTTTTGCTACTTTTTGAACTGGCAGATTACCATAAAAAATGGGTAACTTTTTAATCGCTTGTAATTTTTGCGAAAATTCACCGGCCTTGTTTTTTTTTGTTTTTTTTTTTGATTAAGTTTTTTTGTTTGCCGAACATTTTCCAAGATTTGTTGACAAGTATGGGCATTTTATTTATCTCAGTTTTTTTTTCATCGAACCCATATCCCCTGCTTGGAAGGCAGACAATTTACCTTTAATGATTAATCTTTTTTTTTTTTTGCATAACATCCTGGTCCACACTAGGTGTGGTGAGACTACCATCTTCACCCAAAAGTAACGCCTGGGGGTTATATTTAACTTATTCGTAGTTATTAGTAGTCGCCGTTATATTTGAATAAAACGCACGGGCGTTATTTTCCAATAGAATTGCCGGGCATTATATGTGAATGTTCACAGCACGTCACGGTTATGTTTCCCCCCCTTGAGACATTTCAACGTCACTCAAATTTCAACGTCGGTGGTCGTTGGGAGGGTGGGCATTTTGAGGTTTGGGGGCCTTGCAAGGGCCAGGACCGCGTAGGTCCGGTAGCTGCCCTTGTGCTCCCCGCCACTGACATGCTACATGCTGCAGGTCTCTCTCTCTCTCTCACACACACACACACAGACACACACACACTCTCTCTCTTTCTCACACACACACACACGCACACATGCACACACGCACGTGCACACGCGCATGTCCACACACGCACGTGCACACTCTCTCTCTCTCTCTCACACACTCTCTCTCTCTCTCTCTCTCACACATACACGCGCGCGCACAGTCTTCTGTCTATTGATGGGGAGCGCCACCTGCTGGAAACTGGGTCCAACGTCCCATGAACATCGTGAATAAAGCACCAACCGGGACCTGCCACACACACTCTCTTCAAGTTGTGTATAGCGAACATGACGAAACATACATACAGCATAATCACTACCTTATCCTTCCCGAATGACATCAACAAACAAACTATACGGGCTGTGCACCCATGCCCTCATGGTAAGTCAATTCCATGGGCAGAGTGCCTTGTAGAGGTAGTATACATGGGGTTGAAAGGGCGGGGAGGGGGGTATACATGGGTTTCAAAGGGGGTTGAAAGGGGTTTTGACTTCCAAGGGGTATGTTTCGGTTTGATTTTTTTTGTTTTTATTTTTTATTTCCGAGTTATAAGGAATTCTGAAGTGACCCTTAGCCAAAAGTTGGTCGCATTGCAATTCTGGACAGCATATATTTTTAACTGAAGTTTTTGATTTTTTTTTCTTGGAATTTCGGGCCCCCACCGAAGTTGCCACCAATTTACTGAATGTAGCGCCCGGGTGTTATAAACAAATATAAAATACAACGCCCGGGCATTGTTTTCGGGTGAAGATGGTAGCACCAACACCTAGTGCTTACCTTCTGACGGCTCCGAGCAATTTGTGGGGAGCTGCACATGCTGGAAAAACGGGTCCAGCGTCCCATATGAACCACAAAGACAATCCAAGTATGCACAGCCGCAGGCCTCTTCACCCTAAGGGTGTAGCATATCAGAAAGTGAAATGCACTGAAAGCCTAGGATCTAGCAATGACGAAAGTGGCAACAACCAGCAGCATAGGTGTAACATTCACAAGGTGTCAATGTGCGCGACGCAAAGAGTGAAACAACGGGAAATCAATAACAACACATTCGTATCATCATCATCATAGGCTGGGAAGCAGCGCAGCGGAAGATCTAGTATCAAAGGACATGTGGACAACAACTTGAAAGGGAGAAACTTCGGAAGGGCAAGACACCAGAAAGATTGCCCTTCCGCTCACACACATGGGGAGAGATCCATAGACATGCGAGAGAGAAGGGGGAGGGACATAGAGGTAGCCAAGTCCAACCCAAGTCTGATCTCCGAATGTCGYACACAGTTCAATCCCAATGTRRAGTGTAARTCCGATCTGAATGTCGTGTCCAATAAGGCAGAAGGCCGTGTCCAAACAATGTCTGCAGTTACCTCTATCTCTACTCTGATAAAGAAGAAGAAGAAGAAGAAGAAGCAGAAGAACTTCGGAGGAGTAGGAGGAGAAGAGGAGAGGAGAAGTAGAAGAGGAAGAAGAAGAAGAAGAAAGCTGGGTGCTTTCTGCACTTACCTGGCGATGGCTGAACTTGCAGGTACCGCGGAGCCAGCTATGGCGCTGGGCAGGTAAGTCC